TCTGGCTCCTAGCTGCTGCTCTACTATAAATGCCCCATTCCCCTCAAAAGATCTCCCTGGAATCTCGTTGACTATACGTCTTCTAATTACAACTTATGTTCTATGATGAAAGCAACATGTCGGACACCGATACCGTTCCCGAGCTTCCCTCCATCAAGAAATATACTGTCCCCCGAACGATTTTTATGTACAGAAAGACGATCGAGTCACAGGGCAAAAATATTCAGCAACTGGAAGCTGTAGTCTTCGCGCAGCAGGGCCACGCTTATCAGCAATATCAAACGATACGGTATCTGCGGAAGCTCCGTGTTCTCCAGCAGAAACATATCGATAAGCAAGCCAATTCATTGGTACGAATGCGCTTTTCTCTCAGCCAGCACTTGACGAAGATCATGTCAATCAAGAGCGAACTGCGGGACATTGCGGATAACTTGATGGAGACTCAGAATTTTGCGCAACAAACGTCGTCAGAGCTGTCTGATTCTACGCCTTCAGACAGGCTAGAGAAATGCGCTGCGAGATTGGAGCTGTTTGTTAAGGAGATCCTCGCTTGCTCTATCGCAGGATTGGGACAGGAGAGACGTGATTGAGCAGAGAGTCGAGTTCTGTTCTTTAAGACAGGAAGGACTTGTGGAAACAGACGCAAGGAGCTGGTTCTTCTACTCGTGAGGCAGATACTGTCACACGCAGAGTCACATAAGCCGGAAAGGCATGCATACGGGGAAGAGTATTATGTCATGAGATAGAGGGGCATAAAGATATATGAATTTGAGGCTAAGCACGAGCTACATATAATGTTCCACATCTGAGAGATCACCTACAATGCCGTAACGATTCGAGATTGTCATTTTGGGCTCATGACCTTCAAGGTTAGCACCCGGCGACAGTGACTCTAACTCTCCCGTGATGTCCCTCCTTGCGCCACTCTCTAATAGAAGCTTGGAAGCCTCAGTGTTGCCATACAATACTGACACAACAAGAGCAGTGTTGCCATAGTTGTTCACGCTGTCGAGAGGCTTATCGTCAGTGGCACGCCTTACATACGTATGCATCCTACGCAGTAAGTATCTCAAGATATCCAGAGACTCGGTTTCGAGTTTGAACTCGCGCTGTTGTGATTCCAGACTCAGGCTATCTGACGGGTTATCCCAGTGCACTGGTCCGGCCAGTAGGTGCAAGGCAGTATCGCCGAGATTATCGCGCTGGAAAGGATCCACACCAGTAAGGAGGAGAAGCTGTATGACGTTCACCTTGCTACCATGAAATTGGGCGGCCGGAGTGCGGAGTAGATGGTGCAGAGTTCTCCCATTGTTTCCCGGAAGTTCCAAATTGAAATCGATGTCTGGATTCAACAAGAGCGCCTGTATCATGTCCGTCCCCCGAATGCAGGCGTCGTATAGAGCCCAGCCATCTGATTCCGCAACTATGTGCCCTTGCTGGGCAAGCAGTCGAACTCGCGCAATATCTCCAGAGAGTATGGCGCCCACAAGTGGATTACGGCTTGGCCACACCTCGAGGTCTGGCGGGGTCTTCAGAGGTTGGATTGTGGGACGGTCATTCCCCGACGCTCTGCTGTAGAAGCTTGCATCGCTCGACGCAGGCGACGGCGGTATGGGTATCTTCGAGGGGGACAACATTTAGGGGTTTGTTCATTGCTAGCCAGTAAGTTGACCAGACGCATCACCCCGAGAGCGGGCTTAAAAACGTGTTTGGATTGCTGGACAACGTTGGCGTCGCTATATTTACGTCATGCTTCTTTGCTATACATAGACAATTAAGTCAGGCTTTGGGCCATTTTCGGACGGTGTTCGCTCGTGTGACAGGGTGACCCTGCTCACCAACCTGGCACTTGCTAGGGTTGTTCGGCGAGCTACAAAATACATAGCGACACACTAACAATAGGTTGCGGTGCCTGTTATGTGTGGCTGGGTCCTTGACAGGGATACACGTACCATGCTCTTGAAGTTGGCGCAGGCAGACCAGCCCCTGTGGAGATCTTCACTTTACCTGTTTTGACCGCTGGATCGAGCTGGATCATCATGCCGTCTGCTCCACTGCCTTACCTCAAGACACAACCGCGGAGCTTGAGGCTCCAGAATTGTTCAGCCTGATCGTATACCCTCAGTTCGGCATTCGCCTACGGCCGACACGTCCGGCAGTACAATCCCAACGGCGTCATGCGGAAATATGATGCTGCGGCTGCCTAAGTGACAATATCGGACTTATTCTATGTAGCATTTTGAAAGAGATGTGAAATTAGAGGCCTTAAGCAACACACAAACAAGGTGATGGACGCATGGCCTTTTCAGGTTCAACATTTCATATATCAGCGTCAAACAGTGCTGCAGTTTTCTCCCAAAATACAGACTCTGAGAAGCTAAGTGCACAATGACTTCACATCAATAAAGACTACGACTTGTTTAAAATCTCAAAACTGCCCTCACTCTTAGTAATGTACAGTAGCCAAAAGTGATACACAAGCAAGACTGCTGACATGGCGATGCATTGAGCAACGGCAAAACAGGACGCAATCACGGCCGTGATAGACCACACGCCCTCTTGCGCCGTGTAAACGTTGATGAGAATGGTGATCATGGCTGTTAGAGAATTAAGGATGCAAGGGCTCTGCGAGGTCAGCTAATGCGTCCAGCGGTCACTTGTCAACTTACACGAATATTCTCCCGATAAGCCACACGTAATTATGACGCAGCGTCCACCAAATCCATAGTAGACCGGTAAGCCCAAGAAAGCAGCAGATGCCAGCCACCCAAAGCAGGGGCATATTGCGAACAATGCTCTGCACAAGCCGGCCTGGTTCGGAGTTGCCTAGAAAATTGGTACGGCTGAGGGAGGAGAAGGTTCCGGGGAAAACCACAAAGCCTGCCAGCATCAGCCATGAGCAAAGTGCGGCGGCCAAATTCTTGCGAAATGGGATCTCGTTCGACTCCAGCACCATCTTGTCATAGGTGGACTCAAGCCGGGACGCGGCCTTGCGGGTATCGGGTTTGTCTGTATTTTCCATGTTTGAAATGTGTCTTCATGCGGATCGCACTGTGAGATTGCTGCGGCGATTCCCCCAAGATATATGAGCTGTGGTCGGCTGATTTTGGCCCGTCGGCGCATTTTGGCTTATGGGCCGTCGCTAATTTTAGCCGCGTCGGCTAACCAACATCCCCCATCGACACTTGATAATGTCAAAACGAACCTGGCACGATGACCTTCCTTGCCACCAGCATGTTTTCACAATGAACGTTATTGACTACTACGGATTCTGCTTTGGCGGATCGATCGTTTTTTTGACATTGTTCTGCCTGATTTCGTTTACCGTTCAAGAATTCCTGCATCTGTTTACAAACCATCTGTCATCGTTGTTACCTAGACAAGCGCGGGCAAACATCCTGAAATTGGGTTGTCGAATATTAGAAAGTACATCAATAGCTATAGTAGTGGTGGTGGTCATAATCGGCGGCAACATAGCGGCCGCATTCTCGAATGGAACCCAGCGCCCCAGCCTACGAGATTGCTTTGGTACCGTGACGATCCTCAACATGTTGCCACTTTATGCTGGAACAGGAGTAAAGTTCATCGAGCGGTGTTTCGGTGTGCCAAAAGCACCGTATGAGAACACTCATCGATGGCTTGGAATCGTTACCGTCTGCGCTGCTTTAGGACATGCTCTTTTAGCTCTTTCATCGGAACGTATATCTTTGGGAGACCCGAAGTCCGCGGCTGGCTTGGTGGTGAGTTGCTAACCGTAACGAATCAACAGTGCTGATGCGAGATAGGCAGTCGTGATTCTTCTTGCCATCCCATTCCTGAATCTTGGGCTTCTTCGCAAAAGAAAGTACGAAACGACCCTTAATCTCCACCGATGTCTGTCAGTTGCCGCCTTAGTTGCAACATGGCTTCACTTACCCCCGTCATCTGGTTGGGGAACACCCCGAATGTATGTACTCCTGATAGCGGCGTCATTAGTAAGTCTCAAATGCATTGCGATGGCCGCTACAATATTCCAAGGGAGAGGACGAGCCGAAATCCAGCAAATTGCAGGGCTCTCCGAGGTTCGTCTAAGGCTCTCTAGACATCGGGAGTTCCGTGCTGGGCAATATGTGTATATTTGTATACCCGCTCTCAGAATAACACGAGCCTCCTTCCTCCAATCTCATCCGTTTCAGATAGCCTGGTGTTATCGAGACGAAGATGAGCATGATGTAGTCGTTTTGCTCGTTGAAACACGAAGCGGGTTTACTCGCGACCTGGAACTCGCAGCAAAGAGCAAACGCAAGCACCTGGCCCTCATTGATGGCCCCTATGGCTATCATCCAAAGGTTGATCAGTTTGGCACAGTCATTCTATTTGCATCTGGCATCGGAATAACTGGCCAGCTAATGGCCATGAAGGAGCTGGTTACGCTCTTCAGCAGTTGTGACGCAAAAGCTCGGCGATTTGTTTTGTTTTGGGACATAGAGGCCGAAAGTGAGAATGACCACCTCCAGAGTCCAAACCTGCTACTGACACGGGCCAGTCCACCGCTTCTGGGTCAGAGACTGGATGGATAAGCTTCTAGCCATGGACACGGATTTTGTGAGTATCAGGCCCCTCATGTCAAACCTTGCTAACCACGGAGCAGGTCCTAGATGTGCAGCTGTTTATACACGGGCAATTTTTCAAGAAAGACTCTGAAGGATCATCTCAAGCACTCGGTGGGCATGGGAGGATCAAGTTACATTTCAGCCCGATGGACGTGCGGCAACTCCTTGCGGAGGAGCTAAGAATCAGGAAGGGCAAGACCCTTGTTTCAAGTGAGATTCATTCCCATGCGTATAACCCTGTTGCTAAATCTCAACGATAGCCTGCGTCAATCGTGATACTTTTCGGATAATTAATGAAACCCTGCAAGACGAGCTTATGGAAGATTGGGAACTGGATAGCGGCGTTTTACTTAGTGAACTTGAGTTTTGTCCAACTTAATTGAAATCTGTATCCGCAAAATTCAACCACTACACAGATCTTTCAGCCCTATCCTTATCTCTATTGAAAGTGACGATCGCCAATCGGAGCTTGTCTAGAACATAATCCACCTCCTCAGCAAGCTCTTCTCCGATCTTTCGCATGTTGTGGAGGTAGGCAACCTCTGCACGCAGACGGCTGTTTTCTTTAGTCTTCAGCTCGATGATCTCCTTCAATGACAAGTCGGGCGTCTGCTTCGAAGCCTGGAGTGTCGTGTGGGAGGCTTCAAGTGCTACGGAAGAACCATGAGCGTTGGCAATAGCCATATCAAGATCCCTAGGCGGGACAGGAGTCTCGGATAGTCTACTGTAATTCTTCATGTTTTTTTTCGTCGTTTATGGCAGTAGCCTCGACCAAATCTCCAGTGAGAATAGCGATCTTAAAATATTCCCGGGCAGCTGGTGTGATTATAGAGTGCTAATTTTGGATCGGTCCAAAAATAGATAGACTCAGTGCCTTAAAAGAAGCAGCCCAACCGACGAAACTCATGGAATAAATCATCACGCCCCCACTTCCTCGATTACACTATGGCACTCTCATCCCTATCCACGCCGTTGCGCTTCAAGCCCGTGGAGAATTTGCTTTGGGACGCTTCGCAAGCGATTCAGGAGGCCCAAGGCAAGGTCAAGGAAGCCTTATCTCATGAGCTCGGTGGACGTCTACAAAAACGCAAAACCCAGCATCACATCCAAACCGAAATGAACAAAAATAGTCAGTTGGTCCGTGAGATCACTCAACTACGGCAGCAAAACCAGAGCCTGTATCAGCAGAATTTGCAGCAGGCAAAGCATCTTCATCGCTTGCAGTCAGAGGCCAATGTCAACGCAGAGGAGTTGACCGAGACCAAGTCATCCCAATGCCTCCTGACACAGGATATCATGAAAATCTGCAGCGAAAAGGATACAATATCCCAAGAATTAGAACGAGTCAGAGAGCAGCTGGACATCGAAGTGCTCGAAAGGCAAATTGCAGAGCTGGCCCTAGACCAGTTCAAGGACGAAGTCATCCAGTTGAAAGACGACATGGAGCAACAAAAAGCCTTCTTGCTCGACAAGGACAAGGAATTAGAGGGGATGAGGCAAGTCCTGGGGCAATTCAAGGAACAGGTTTCTGTGTACGAGGGATTGCTTACTAGCAACGAAACCACTGTTGAAGAGCTTCATCGCCAGCTTAGCATGCAGTCTCTCATCAATGCCGGATTGCACAAGGCATTGGATGAGTGCCAATGTTCGGGGAAGGCCCAGGGCCTTGAAAACGTTGAATCCACTAGTCTGAAACGTTCTAGATCGTCAACTCCTACCGTTTATACCCAAGGAGAAAAAAGGCAGAAGACTAGCATTTGATAATGGAAATCGAAATCCATATCCTCGTTGAGTACCTCGTGGGGAAAGTGAATCCTATATATATTATATTTTATATTATAGTAAAAGGCGGAATGGGTTTCGCGGAATTTCTTAAATAACATATTTAGTAGTGGCGGTGTGGAGCCAAGCTGATGTGGCTTAGTAGCCGAGGCCCGTAGCGAGCAAGTACTCAGGGCGCAGGCGTTAATAGAGCCAGAATCCGAGCGAGCCAGAAATGGACGCAGCATAATATGAGACAGCCAACAATAGGCAGGAAATGGAACGAGGCCAGAAGAACATAGCCAGAACTAGCTTACTAGTAAGATGTTAGGGACCCAGCTAGTCGGACAAGTGTTGGCCCGCCCTTCCCCGGTCAGACCCTCGTCCCATCTCTCTCGCTTCCCATCAACCAAAAAATGGCGTTATAACGACCGCAGTTCCGCAATCACCATGTCTTTGCATAGCTTTCTGTGCCCAGCATATAATGTCATATTAAGTTTAACCTGATAGTTAATGAAGGAGTTATAGATCAGCAGGCTGCAAGCACTGGGAGGACACTTTCGGTAACGATGAGTTCTAGGAACGAGCTATGTAGAAGACGTCGCATCCCTGCTCGATAGACGCAGAATGATGAATTGCGATGGCAAAAGTTGCCACCTTTCAAGATAGCAGTTGCGCGGTATTCATTACACTATAATTGTCTTATGTATAAATAAAAGCATCCATTGTCTAAGGGTATCATGGAATCTCTTGGCTACTTTCCCCGAACTGTAGTTCCCAGTCCGGCAGGGCTCATGCAGAAGATATGGTATGTGGATGATCCATACCAAGAACGTTCCTTCTGAGACGAACGCAGTCTTGCAGAAGCTGAATAGCATCTTTCCACTGATTCTGGGATTTCCAAGTGTCAGCCAGGTTGGCCATGCTCGTCAGCGTCGAGGTACCCTCTTTCTCGTCTCCATCACCCGCACCTCCAGCTCCTCGGCCTCCTTCCATCGGCCTTGGTTCGAATACGTCGACGCCAGGTTGGCCATGCTCGTCAGCGTCGAGGGATGCTCCTCTCCCAATATGTTCTCCCGCAGCTTGAGGGATTGAGCTACGACTTGTTCTGCCTGTGCCCACTGACCGTAACATAGGAAATAACCCGTCATATTGAGCAAAAGGGATGCTCTTGCAAGTCGCTCTTTACGAGAAATACTCGCGCCGTGTTGGAGAACAGCATTAGCATGGGGGAGGTAATCCTGGCAAAGCTGACGACTCTCATATCGACCATATGGATAGAGGTCTGACACTACCTCGAGAGCATCTTCTATGCAGCCCGCCAGCCTGCTGTGTATATCCAACCATTTCCGTGTCACCAGCTGTACTAGCCGATGCATATCAATTGCGTTATCTTTGGCTTCTGACACGAGCGAGAACCCTTTGAGAGTACCTAGGGCCTTGAGCATTTTGCTGGTGCTGATTTGCTGTCCCCTTCTTTTCCTTTGGTCGCAGAAACCAGCTACAAGGTTTTCGGGAATGCCTTGACGGTCTAGGAGACAAGCAAAGGACAGAAGATCGCTTGCCAGGGGATCTTGTTGCTGAATCTGGTTAAATGAGACGATCCATGTAGCTGTGAGTGCGTGTGGTGTCTCTGAGTCTCTCCCTATTGCTTGAAATGGCTCGCTTAGTTGGTCCACCAGGCTGTCGTTACTTTCCCCCAAGAGTTGAAGATACCTGTCAATTGACACGCTGTTCTCTTGGATGAATGCAGCAGCTTGTGCAAGAGCGAGCGGTAGATGCTCGAGCCGGGCGGAGAGTATGGACACCTCCTTGGCAGATATGTCGTCGTGGAGAATTCTATGAAGCAGCTGACTTGATTCATTATCGCTCATGTCTCCAACTTCGATGATTGCTTTCCCCCGCACAAGCCTTGATGCAGTCTGTTTGTTTCTTGTAGTGATCAAAACGCACCCGTGACCACACTCGGGAATGTAGCGGCCAAGGCCACCTTGGGTGTTGGCTGACATGTGTGTATTAGTGATGCTACTATCGGACAGCGACGGGAAGAACAGCTGTGTGTCGTCGGCGTTGTCGATAACCATCAGCCACCGGCCTCGAACGCCGTTTTCCAGCCAAGTCTTAACAAGCATGAGCATGTCAGCTTTGGGATCGTCATATCCAGGGATGCCACATTCTTGGGCGATGGTGGAAAAGGCTTGGCGAAATCGGTCTGCGTTGCTCGCATGAACCCAAAATACAGAAACGTCCGGGTGGGCATATTGCATCCAGAAGACGTAGGCAAGCGCAATTTGTGTTTTCCTACGTGAGGTTAGACAGTACAGAGGCTCGGAGGAGGCAGTAGCATTACCCAACACCTCCAAGACCATAAAGCGCGATTCTCGGCCGCGGTCTTGCAGCCTGGTCGACGTGCAGCTCATGCCCGAAAAGCCGTTTCATCTGATGCAGAGTTTCAGATCGGCCGACGAAGTCTGGATTTGCGTTATACGGAACAAGAACTAAAGCACATTAGCAGAGATCATCCGAGTATTTGCTGCATTTCCTTACACCATGTACGGGAAGCCAACGTTGTGTCCATATGCATATGATGCTCGAGAAGTGCCTTTGTCGTTGAAGCTGCTGTTGCTGCAGCAAAATGCTGCCATTTCTTGTTTTTATGACTGTCTGCATAATCACAAACTGCCTTGATAATAATGCAAGGAATCTCGTCCCATATGCCGGCTCCTTCCATTTCAAAGGCAATGAGGTTATGCTCTCCAGCAATCCTGTCGCGCTCTAAGCCAGCCTTCAGTACGGTATCGGCGGACCCCACACGCCCAACTAATACTCTAATCTCTCGTCCTGCCGTCCCAACTTCTGCCTGCTCGGGCGATTCCTGCGTCTCGAGGCTGCTCCTGGACACGAGACGAGAGCGATCACACCCAAGCACGTCGCATGAAGCAGCTTGAGCACTTCCACAGGCATTTGACTCGTTGCAGCCACATTGGGAAGAGTTGTGGTGCCTGTGAAGATAGTCTGACTCAAAAAGGCGATCTTCTGTTGCGGCAGGACGTCTGTAGAGGGTCTGATGCCCCTCGTCGGTTGACCTTCGCTGGACCTGATCTAGGATCTGGCTGGCTCGGCGCTGCAGAGCACTGCGGCCATGGAGTGTCTGAAAGGTGGCGACGAGAGAACGTACCTCCTTGCTGGGCCTTCCTAGATTGTCTTCAATAGTGTCTTTTGGTTCAAAATGGCTAGGATATTTTCGACCCAAGTCATACTGTACGATGCTTTTGCTGATAATAACATCCCCTAGGAAGACCTCGTTGTTCGTCCCGACTCCAGGCACACCACCGCAAATGCCGGTTAAGATGGCAAGCCTGATACCATGGTAGCTTGATCGAAGACTGGCCGCTGCACTCGCTGCGCTAACTTTTCCCATATTGGGGAGGAGAAGCAGAACAATGTCATGGCCTCCCATCCGACCGGTCGCGTACGTGTTGTAGTCTCCAGGTGCATTCCCCAGCCGGGTTTCACCTTTGTCCCAAACCTCTTCGCAGGCAAAGACGGCGGCATTGTACTCGAGGGGTAAGGCGCATACGACGGCGACCTGGAAGTCCTCACGGCGGCGAGGTCGAGAATGGCTGGTCATTAAGTCGTTGAGGCTTTATATCGTTCGTGCTAAGCGTTCTTAATGAGTAGCGGTTAGGAAATCAAGGATGATTGATGCTAGTTGGTGATTGTCGATGGCGTCCAATTGTGAATTTGACTGAACATCAGGCAGAGAGAGTCTCACGTAAGATAAGGCTGGCGCTTCATCAGACATGCCGATTGGTTGATGTGATCTGCGCCAAGCACATATTTTTCTATTTGGCGGTTCTGGCGGCATTGCGTGTTGCCTTTCCGATTACAGCTTGTCGAATTTCCAGCCTGTGGGGGCAGTTAGGCTACCGGCCAGGATTGCAGTGTTTAGTCAGTTGACGACTGTTAAAGTATATCTGCAGCGGTGCAGCGACGGCTTGCTAGTGTATTGCAAATTGGAAAAAGGTGACGAGCGCCTGTATGTCACAACTGGGCAGAAACGGGGTTGGGGTGCGATGGATGGGCGCGTCATCCCGCTCTCTCAGCCGTTTCTAGGTGTACAGTACTCTGCACTTATGATTTACTCTGTCTATTTCTGACTCGCTTGGATTCTGGCTCTGTTAACGCCTGCGCTATGAGTACTTGCTTGCGACGGGCGTTAGCTGCTAAGCCACATCAGCTGTGGCTCCATAACACCACCACCAAACATGTTAAGTAGGAAATCCCGTGAAACCCATTACGCCTTTTACTGTATTTGACCACCAGTCCGACCCCTAACCTGCCTATCTTAGGCCCCATCCCTGGTTCAGACACCTATAAACCTTCAAACGTATTGGTCTGTCTCTATACGAACGACCCACATGCACAGTGGGCCTCAGTGCCAGCCCATCACTACCACGACCGCCGGCCGCCAATCCCACTCCGCCCTCACACTTCCACTTGTGCGACGCCGCCGGCCCCCTTCGGAATCGGAACAACCACAACCCCGCTATCCCTCCAATCTGTGGTTATGGAATCAGATAGATCATGGATGGATGGCACGCTCTTTGCAGCTACTTCTGCTGCCAATCCCTCCTCCGTCGCCCCCTCCTCCGACAGCCTGCCCAACGATTGATCGGCCCGGCTCGGCGGGCCCTGCTACTCGCCAGCTTCACCCAGCCCGGCGTGGCCTCCATATCTCAACTATCAAGCCCATCACCTCCGCCTGCTGGGCTGACGTACCAGCATCACAGAAGGGGATGGAAGGGGTTGAAGCACATCCCAAGCTTGAGTTGAGTCATTATCACTTATGAGCAAGCGGCAGAAAAGTAGCTAATCAACTGCATTCTTCTCGGAGACACCCCCTCAGGTGACGTTTACTTTCCAGCTCTATTCATTAACGGACTTGCTAGCAGCTCCATCTCCCGTCACACGCAATAACCCGCCTCCCTCCAAAATGCAACCCAAGGGTCAACCATCATGCCTCGCGAAACTGTATACTCTTCCTTATCCTTCCAGCCAGATGCCCAGCCCTCCCCATCGCCCCAGCATACCAGCGCCCACCTCAAGGCAAGTAAACTTGTCAAGTTCAATCAATCAATCAATCAATTATGAAGCCATCGCCAGTCAATCAAGTCAATTATGACCCTCAAACTTGATTGATTGCCTTGACTCTTTTGACAGGGGCCACGATACGGATTAATTGAATATTCCATTGCCGAATATCCCTGCCCTCCCCTGCCCTTCCTCATCTGCCCTCCACTTCTGATGGGACCCCCCTTTGGCAGGGTATAAATTGCCCCCTTTTGCCCACTTGGCTTCCTTTTCTTTCTTCCCAAGCTAATGTTGTGACGAACTTGGTGTGGTTGCAATGTTTTCCAATCTCCTGCCCTCGGCTTGAGTAACAGGTAACCCCCTTGAGGAGTATGGAATCTGCCCTTCAAGATCTTCCGGAGATTTGCATCAAATCTGTTGTTTCACTGCTGTTATCCTCTATCTCCGTCGTCCGTTAGCGTCCCTTGAATATACTGTGAAGGTGAGGGCATCACCAAGGCTACCCTCTCTTCTGCCTTGCTCATCCTGTGATAGATGTCTCACACCAGCAACCCTCCATTCAACCCCAACCCCTCCTCCGAATGCCTTCAGTCAACTCTCAAGGCATAGATCCATCTCATCACAGCTTGAGCAAGGCAAAACCCACCCCCTACCCGACCGTCCTTCGTTCGAAGACCTCTTCAGGGTCATGATAAACAATAAGGCATATGTGCAAGAGTCGGAACTTTGGAGAAAGGGTGCAAGAGAGAGGACAAGCTGGATAGGAAGCCATGGATGGTTTTTTGTTCACTACCAGCCAGATAGTCAACCAGGGGCTAGTTACTAGGCTTGCCGTTACTGTGATCTCAAGGGCAAGCATATCATTCTTGATATCAAAGCAACTTCGTCTGCTGCAGAGCATATTAAAAAGAACTATGCTAGAGAGATTAACGCAGCATCTATTAGCTCAGAAGGCTCTAAAAGATCTGATGATGTTCCATATAAGAGATGGCGTTTGGATTTCACTGGTATGACGAAAGATTATGCAAAGAGTGTCCAGAAGGCTGCCATCTGCCTCATTATAGATGCCAACCTTCCCTTCAGCATCTATGAGAACCCTGCTTTTCAGAGTATGATCTCTGGTATCAGTGTAAAGCTGCAAACGTTGCCATAGTCTGCCACTTTAATGGTTCATGCACTTAAGGGTATTTGGAAGCATCAGAAAGAGGTTATACGGCAAGAACTTCTGCATACTGACTCTGAAATCCATCTGGCTTTTGATCTATGGACTTCTCCAGGCCGCCAAGCTATTATGGGTGTCACTGCACACTTTATTACCAGGGAGAAGGGTCCTCAAGTGCGTTTGATTGCTATGAGGAAGCAACTTGGGGCTTATGATGGTGTCAACCTTGCAAACACTCTTGAGGAGGTTATTTGAGACTAGGGCATCATAAATCAAGTGAGAACTTTGGTCTCTGACAACGCAAGCTCAAATGACACTTGCATAGCAAGTCTGATCCCTCGGCTTGACCCTTCTGCAAAGAAGAAGCAAGATGCCCAGGCTAGAAGGATTTGTTGCTTTGGGCATATCCTCAACCTTATATCAAAGGCCTTCTTATTTGGCAAGGACTCTGAGAGCTTCGAGAGACAGTCAGATGCATATGTTCTTTTACAGCAAGATGAGGCTGACCTCAAGCATTGGCGAAAGACTGGTCCTATTGGCAAACTTCATAATGTTGTGAAGTTCGTGAGAGCTTCGCCGCAACGTACACAGAGGTTCAAGCATCTATCCCGTGAGATATTAGAGGGATCTAGGCAATCTGGTGATATTCTTCTCTCTCAGCAGACACTCAGAGAAGTTGAATTAATCTAAGACAATGCTATGAGATAGAACTCTATATACCTTATGATTGAGCGTGCTATTCGCCTCAAGGATGAAGTAGATGGCTTCTGTTCTTCTCAGAGTGTCAAAGATCCTATGCCAGCCCAAGATATCTTGACTTCTGATGACTGGTTGCAGTTGGCAGAGATTATGATGATCTTGAAGCCCATCTGGAAGATGACACTTTGAACGTAGGGTTTTGGAGAAGATAGCTCCTATGGTAGACTTTAGGAGGTAATCACTGCAATGGAGTATCTTCTGAGTCACTTTGAGGGGTGGAAGACCTTCTATAACGGCATAAGCAATGGGGATACTCAAGATCTTGAATCAGAAGAGTCACAAGCCTTCTCACAAGAAGCATCTCAAAGAACTACTCGCTTGGCAAATCGGCAAATCCCATCATATGCTCAAGCATCACAAGCATCTGAGAGACGGTTTGATGAGAGCTCTTTGCCTGCCCATACTCGTCAAGCATATATCAACAGCATCTCTAACCTGGAAGAGATGGACAGCAGTAGCCAGCAGTACTTGAGGACTTCTATCAATAGTGGATGGAAGAAGCTGGATGAGTACTACGCCTTGACAGAAGAGTCACCTCTGTATGCTGCTGCATTACTCCTCCACCCTGGTTTTAATATGAAATATGTGGAAAAGAACTGGCGATCCCCTCGCCAGCAGGAATGGGTATCTAATGCTAAGTTGGCTCTGAAGAGATATTTCAACCGATGGTATCCTTCAGAAGAAGGGGAGGGCATGAGAAATGCAAGGCCACGCCCAGAACCTCATGATCCAGATGACTTTGAGCAGTGGGTTCAAGCAGAAGCCACTATACTTGACGAAGAAGAGGATGACGAGGAGCTGGATGAATTGGAGAAGTACTTGGGCCTGCAGAGGCAGGCTGACTGCAATCCTATTGACTGGTGGTTTACCCATGCAGAGGAATATCCTCGCCTGAGTAGGCTGGCGTTAAGCATCTTGGCGATACCCTCACAGTCATCTGACTGTGAGAGGGCATTCAGTGCTGCCTCTCTTGCCCAGACCTCACAGAGGCTGGCGATGAAGGTAGAAAGGCTGGAAATGCTGCAATGTATGAGGCAATGGCATAAGAGGGGTGCAATTTCACTGCTTGGTGGGTCTGAATAGCTTCACTTGGCAATTACTTGCAATTAATTGGCAATCAATCAAGTATGGCATCGCGATGTGGCAATCAAGTCAATTATGGGCTTCAAACTTGATTGATTGCCTTGGGGTGGGCGCTGCAGCATACCACCTATCCCATGACCTTGGCCGCCAGCTCTGCAGGGCAAGGGATGGCCCAGAACAGCAGCCCCATCGAGAAGAACGGAGGCTTGTCCCCGTCGGTAACCTTCCACTCTGCAATACAGTAGCCCTTCACGATGTCGTCCTGTAGCAGCTTCTGAATAGTGGTCTCTTTATCATCGGAAGCATCGACTTTGGCGATGCGGAGGCCTAGGAGGTGCATCATCGCCATGGCAATGCTGTTGACCTGGTTGTCGGAGGTATCCCAGACCCTCGGCTCGTCGCTGAATGGGACGTCTTTGAAGTACCTGGTCGAGGGCTGGCTAGGCTTCTTTGCCAACCTCCAGGCATTCCTTAAACCACTCAACGTAGTGCCAGCCCAGGTGGGCCTCTTCGTCCTCGTTGCCGACGCCAGGCTTGTGGGGGACCCAAACGTGAATGGTATTGTTCTTTAGCTCCTTACGGCCCGAGGCATCCAAGCCGACCTCGGCCTCCCACAGCAGCGCCCCCGGGACCTCCTCGTCGCCATTCTTGAAGAATCTCATGCGGCCGCGCTTCTCGAACGCATCCTCGTTCCAGTCTCTTCCAATCTTGATGCCTCCAGTCATGATGATCGATAGCTTCGTCGTGCGGGCTCTGCGCGGCGAGTACAGCAGCTCATCGAACGCAAATGTGACGACCTTCGCAGCAAGTGGGACGGTGCAGAACACGACTTGGTGGGTGGATGTGAACGGCTCCCTCGTGAGGATGGTCTCTTGGAAAAGGCGCCGGATGTCTACGTCCGTTGGGTTGTTCCGGAGAGCCTCCTCGCCCATTGACTCGGCAGCCTGCCGGGTAGTGAGGTTTGTGCGGATGAAATCCAAGGTGTCGTTGAGCGTGCGCTGCGAAGCCATCGTTGCAAGTATCACTCTGGGGACCCTAGGCACCTGTAAGCATCATGTAATTGGAAATAGCGCTGGAGATCCATGTGCAACGTACTGTCCGTTTGGGTTTGATGTGTGATGCTCTTGGCCTCGGCCTGGGTAGTTGGTGATACTTGAGAGGCTGAGGTGGTTGCTGGTGGTGATGTAGGAAGGGAAGTTTGTAGGCTGGGCTTGGTCCTATCGTCCACTTTCTAAAAAGGGTTGTGTGATGAGGCTGTTGCGTAGGTTGGATCGCAACTGCCCTTAATGATCCACTACGCCTGCCTCCTCGCGTCCTAAAGCTGGTTCACACAACCTAAGACACCTTTATCAGGGCTGTCGCGTCTTTGTCGTTCTTTCTCCAGCCAGGCGGCTCCTTCTCTTAAAAGACCGCAGGCTGCTTCCAAGGCCCCTCCTTCCAGCTGGCAATTTAGCATCTCGCGCCTTCTCTTCTCTTCCTCCTACATCACCCACAGGAAAAAAACTGCCTACTCTTCCTTCCACCCCCCAAAACTATCTTCTTTACGCAGCCAAGCCAGCTTCTCTCCTCTTCACACGTACCGACCGACCGCTCCCGATCGCTAAAGGACAATCCAACGACGCAGCCCCCTTCCTCGCTAACTACTTACCGTATCTTGGGCAACATGTCTGCTGCTGCCTCTAATTCCAAGCCGCCGGCTGGCCAGAAGCCGCCCGAGGAGACAATACTCTGTGCTATCCGCCCTATGTTGGTCAAGCCTGGCATCATACCCCATGACGATCCCGGCCACAACACCCTCAAAACTTTCATCGATCTCCTCGACACCACCGCCACTGAGAAGGAGCAACGCCTGAAGGTCTCTCCTTTTAGGGCGGTGGGCAACACCTTCGACTTCAGCGACCCCGCCAATTGTCACCTTCCGAACGTCTGGCAGTTCGCTGACCAGGCCGACCTCGCCCGCCTGTACGACGCCGTTTTCCGCAGCGACAAACAGCCCGACTTCATCAAGGCGGCCAACCTCCATATCTACATCTGGTTTCCCCAGCGCGGGCCCCAGCCCTCCAAGAAGCCCAACTTTCACCATCTGATTGACATCCGGAACTTCACCCTCTACGGCTGGTGTGGATGTCTTCCCCGCGACAACCCGAAGGTCAGTATGAATGATCAACTACTCCCTATACATCGTCACTAACGCCTGGCGTCTGTATAGACAAGCCGTACCTTGGTCCTGACCACGGACCGGATGCATGACTGCACGCACTGGTCAAAGTACCCTGCCACGCCGGTCCAGTCCACACCCGGCAGCCACGCGACGGCGCCCCATGGCCCCCCTCCCACACGGATTGGCGTCATCAACGGCCACTTCCCCCATGGGGTGCTGTATCCACCTCCCCCGGAGGACGAGAACTCGAACATCGTCCCTCATCACATCTATGGTGGCATCCACTTGGACCATAGCCATGGACGGGCACTACCGCCCCCAGGCATCCTCTCGAATGACCGGCCTGCGTGGCCTGAGTCTCCCATCGTCCCCAGGGAGATTTACCTAAGCTCCTCGACATCACAAAAGTAGGCCTAGCCGGTAGCCACGCCACAGGCTCCAGTAAGTCTTGACGGTTGGATTCAAGCTAGAAGAATGCAGGGCATGGAAGGCTGACGGACACACTCATAGTTATGAGGTTAACGACGAGGTGAGGGGGCGGGGAGGAACACTACATGTGCACATTGCATAAAGGGCGAAGTTCGCGGGATCATGAGCACGGCAGCGATTTGCAGCTGGGGATATAGTGTCTTATTGAGGGCTAGAAAGCTATCATATGGCGAGGACGATAATGCTTTGCGTGGGAGGGAACCACGCACAAATGTATTACAGTGCGATAGACCAAAGCACCAAGAGCAAATCACTCCTAACCATGATCCCAGTGAAGCCCATGCCAGAACTCACGTTCGAATGGCCAACAGCTTCCAAGAATGGCAAGAAAAAGGAAGAAGCGCACCAAGTAGTGGAATTCCCTCCAGAGTGAAATGCTGTGCAGCCCGCACTTCACCCCAATTCCACGGTCGGTGCGATAATCAAGAAACCCAAATACTCAGCCAGAAAAATACTGTATAACTATGTAGTAATCAACCCACAGTTAAAGACTTATAGTTCGAAGAAGAACAAATCAATCTAAATCGCGATATATACATTTAAATTGGAGTTTTACTGCTGTCGCAGATACACATAACAAGATCCAGCATTTGTGGCGGCCCAACGTCAAAAACGATTTGAAACTTGTTGAAACCTCTTTGTTCAATGAATATATAATGTCCCTGCCCCATCACCTGGCAGTCCACGGTTGGGAAGCCTGGCCAAGACACTGTTGATATACTTTTCATAGCTGTTTCTAGAATTCCAGTGAGCTGTGATGACTTTCCTCAACAGTTGCGTCGACTAACGGGTTGGGTGCCAGCTGTTGTCGAAAGGCACGGTTAGGTGTACCACTTCCCCAGCTGCGCTACTCGCTGTTACATTGACAGCGCCTGCCAAGTCGCAAATCCGACTGTGCTGGTAACTATCCATTACACTCGACATCGCTCAGAAATTGACTCAGCTGGAATGAATCTTTAAACAGCAAGCAAAGTCTGATACATACAGTAAAAGGCGTAATGGGTTTCGCGGAATTTCATACACAACATGTTTAGTAGTGGTGTGGGGCCGTAGCTTGTGTGGCTTAGCAGCTCACCCTCGTAGCCGGCAAGTACTCACAGCGCACGCGTTAACAGAGCCAGAAATGGGCACAGCCAGAAATGGACGCAGCAAATAATGATTACAGCCAGACACGGCTTACTTGTTGACTGCAGGGTCCCTGCCTGACCAAGAATCGCTGGACGCCCATCTCCTCTGCCAGGCTTGAGTCCCATCGCTCTTCCTTCTCTCTCCTCAATTGAAGATGGCGCCGGTTCGGTATCAGCTGTCACCATGGCGCCGCAACTGGATGCCGCAGAGCGGTCCCCGTTCACGATTCTACGACGCAAGGGTTCGACAACGGGCTGATTGCCTCCCTTATGCTCCCTACGCGCCGTTCAGAAAACGCGCCTCGAGAAAGACGATCCGCTGCATCGCACGACGACGGGCTGACAGCCTGATCTCAGTCTTGGGAGTGGATGACGCGCCAATCCATCCAACACCAACCCCGCTTCCGCTCAATTGTGAGTGGCAGGCGTTCCGCTTCCTCTTCCACTTGGCACCACCGCGCGCCAATAACAACATCGCCATGCCCTGCACCAACAAGGCGTTGCTGCACCGCTGCAGACATACATATCATGGCATGTCTCAATTGGTTCTCGCGCTTCATCCAAGAGGCATGGTCAGCATGCTCTTCGCCAATCAATCGGTAGAGCAGCCCCCGTGCACCCCGCTCCGATCTAGCTGACTGCTGCCAGCCTGATCTTGGGTCCAACAAATAGACGAGGACACCCGCCATGCTCCATCGCCTTTCTCTCCCCATCTCAATCGACTCTCTTTTTACGAGCAGCCGCGTGTCTTCTACCGAACATGCCTAATCTCCAATCCTACACTGTCGGCTGGATATGCGCTATTCCCACCGAGTTGGCTGCCGCCCGCACCTTTCTCGATGAAAAACATGCCACCCCTGAAGCGGTCTCACGGAATGACAACAACAGTTACACTCTCGGAACGATTGGAAAGCACAACATTGTCATTGCTGTTATGCCTAAGAGAGAGTATGGTATTGCTGCTGCCGCTACCGTGGCGAGAGACATGGTCCACAGCTTCCCTAATATCCGTATTGGATTGATGGTTGGTGTTGGAGGCGGCGCCCCAAGCAAACAACACGACGTACGCCTCGGCGATGTGGTTGTCGGAAGTCGTGATGGTGGAAAAGGCGGCGTCATTCAGTATGACTACGGCAAGATGATGCAGAATCAGGCCTTCGTTGAAACCGGGAGCTTAAACCAACCGCCACCAGCCTTGCTAAACGCCGTTGCCGCACTCGAGACCGAGTATATGATGCAGGGCCCTGAACTCGACTCCAAGGTCGAAAAGGCCTTGACTCCATGGAAACGACTTCAGAAAACACACTCACGCCCGCCTGCAAGTGCCGATCGGCTCTACACACCAGACTTCGCCCACCCGCTCGAGTCTTCTGCACCTTGCTCTCAGACATGCCCCGCAAACACCGCCAATATCATTTCTCGAGACGAACGGGGTGAACACGAAGACAGCCCTACTATCCATTATGGACTAATTGCTTCCGCAAACCAGGTGATGAAGAATGCCAAGATACGAGACAAACTTTCGGCGGAAAAGGGCGTCTTATGCTTTGAGATGGAAGCAGCCGGCCTGATGAACCACTTCCCGTGCTTGGTTATCCGCGGTATATGCGATTACTCTGACTCGCACAAAAACAAGGAGTGGCAAGGCTTCGCGGCTATGACGGCTGCAGCATACGCGAAGGATCTTCTACTTCAGATTGCGCCAACCAGTGTCGAAGCTGAGAAGCCAATTAGCGAAGTACTTGGTTCTAGTTAGTATTCTACACGCAATTTACCTAGTACCGTCTAATATAGAATAGTTCATAAAGATGTACAGCGGTTGAACCAGACGACAAATGAGACAAAGATGGCAGTTGAGACAATGCATTCTGAGCAAAGGTACGAGCAAGCTGCCCACCTACCTAAACAAACTCCATTCTGAGTTTTTCAGGGTTTTCTATGTCGACCTTCAACAAGGTATACAAGATCTCAAGCTCAGCAAAGTTGAAGACCTTTCTATTGCCCGCAATCCTCATTTCGTTGTACCGTTTCCTTCCGATCCCCATTTCGTGAGCCGGTCCGACATCTGGACATGGATTGAAAAGCAATATGCTGGGCCTGAAAGCCGCTTCGCTCTTGTGGGCATGGGCGGATTTGGGTACGTTGTAACAGCTGCATTAAAAGGTCTCTACTAACAAGGCGACAGCAAATCCCAGATGGCCATCCAATTCGCTCACCACCTCCACGCTACCTCACCCAAAACCAGCGTCTTCTGGGTCCACGGAAGCACGAAGGCGACATTCGAAGAGTCCTATCGCTCTATAGCAGAAGTGCTAGCGCTGCCCCGTCGCCACGACTCTGACGCCAATGTCCTACTACTGGTCCGCGACTGGCTACAAAGAGAGGATGTAAGCCCGTGGCTGATGATTGTCGACAATGCAGATGATGTCAAGATGCTAATCTCCAAGAATACTGATGAAACGTATCTATCGTATCTACCTAAGAGAGAAAACGGCAAGATCCTGATCACGTCGCGCAGCTGGGACGCCGCGGACGAGTTGACTGGTAACGTCAAGATGATTTTCAGGGTCCCAACAATGGAGGAAGCACAGGCACTACAACTCTTTCAAAAGAAAAGTGGCCGAGATGATAACGACGCTGCTGTGTTGCGCCTGATCGACACCCTCGACTATGTTCCGCTCGCCATCAACCAAGCAGCCGCGTACATATACACACGAAGTCCTCGGGTGACCGTTGAGTCGTATTTGGAGGAATTCCGCAACAGCGAAAACCGAAAAGACTTACTGCTTCGCCTCAATACAGGAGACAATCGACGTTACGCAGGCGTGTCCAATTCCGTTGTAGTGACGTGGCAGTTAACGTTTGAACAAATCAAACGGGAGCAGCCGCGGGCGGCGAACCTTCTTTCACTGATGAGCTTTTTCCAAGCACAAAATATCCCAGAGTATATGTTGCACAACTATAACAGCGGCAACACAGATTCTAAAGAGGCCAATGATAGGCATGGGGAAACCAGCGGTGTCGACTTCGAGGATGACCTGGACGTGCTCCGGGGCTACTCACTCGTTACCATGACAGCAACGCCGGGTGTCTTAGAGATGCACTCGCTAGTGCAATTTTGCACCAAACTTTGGATCTCAAAATTTGGTTCTGCTGACCAATGGAAGACGCTCTTTCTTCAATCAGCCTCACGACACTTTCCATCAGGCGTATTTGAAACGTGGCAGCAGTGTCAAACGCTGATGCCCCATATGCAGCCTTTATTGGACAAACCGCCGTCAGAAGAACGCAACCGCCTGGAATGGAGCAAGTTACTAACGAATGTGTCGTGGTACTTGGTGATGCTTGGCAACTATTCTAGGGCAGAGGTTTTAGTACAAGACGCTATTAGGATCAGGACGGAAAGACTAGGAGAGGAGGATCCCTTGACGCTGACGAGCATGGCCAACCTGGCGTCGACGTACAGCAACCAAGGCCGATGGAAGGAAGCCGAGGAGCTGGAGGTGCGGGTGATGGAGACGCGAAAGAGGGTGCTTGGAGAGGAGCATCCCGACACGCTGACGAGCATGGCCAACCTGGCGTCTACATACAGGAACCAAGCCCGATGGAAGGGAGCCGAGGAGCTAGAGGTGCGGGTTATAGAGACAAGTTTGAGGGTGCTTAGAGAGGAGCATCCCAACACGCTGACGAGCATGGCAAACCTGGCGGCGACGTATGAGAACCAAGGCCAATGGAAGGAGGCTGAGGAGCTATTTTTGCGGGTGATAGACACAAGAAAGAGGGTGCTTGGAGAGCAGCATCCCTCGACGCTGACGAGCATGGGCAACCTGGCGTCAACGTATAGCAACCAAGGCCGATGGAAGGAAGCCGAGGAGCTGGAGGTGCGGGTGATGGAGATGAGAAAGAGGGTGCTTGGAGGGGAGCATCCTGATACGCTAATAAGCAAGGACAACCTGGGGTCAACGTTTTTGAACCAAGGTCAGTGGAAGGAGGCTGAGGAGCTATTTGTGCGGGTGATGGAGACAAGTTTAAGGGTGCTTGGAGAGGAGCATCCCGACGCGCTGACGAGCATGGCTAACCTGGCGTTAACGTTTTGGAGCCAAGGCCGATGGAAGGAGGCCGAGGAGCTGGAGGTGCGGGTGGTGGAGATGAGGAAGAGGGTGCTTGGAGAGGAGCATCCCCACACGCTGCTGAGCATGGCCAACCTGGCGTTAACGTTTTCGAACCAAGGCCGATGGAAGGAGGCCGAGGAGCTGGAGGTGAGGGTGATGGAGATGAGGAAGAGGGTGCTTGGAGAGGAGCATCCCTCAACGCTGATAAGCATGGGCAACCTGGCGTTGACGTTTTGGAACCAAGGCCGATGGAAGGAGGCCGAGGAGCTGGAGGTGCGGGTGATGGAGACGAGGAAGAGGGTGCTTGGAGAGGAGCATCCCGACACGCTGACGAGCATGTACAACCTGGCTGATACTTGGAAATCTCAGAATCGGTGGAAAGATGCGATTCAGCTTCTGCAGCATTGTGTTCGCCTCAGAGGGAACGTTCTTGGTATGGATCACCCAGATACTATATTTGCCGTATCAGCCCTGTCGAACTGGGAACTAGAGTTCAGGGAAACTAGTCATAAGTTTCTATAATACCCCTAGAGAATAGATGCTTCTGAATAGTTAGAGAGATGTTATGAATACGGCGCTAGTGCTCTGTAGACAGATCATAACTTTTGCTATCGCAATTCATCATCCTGCGTCTATCGAGCAGGGATGCGACTTCTTCTACATAGCTGGTTACTGGAACTTATCGTTGTCGAAATCGTCCTCATAGTGTTGACAGCCCGCCAATCTATACTATAACACCTTCATAAACTATTAGGTTAAGCTTATTATACCGTCATATACTGGGCATGGAAAACTACGTCAAGACGCGGTGATTGCGGAACTGCGGTCGTTACAACGCCATTTTTGGTTGAGTGGAAGAGAGAAAGATGGGACGAGGTTCAGGCCGGGGAAGGGCGGACCAACAGCTGTTCGACTAGCTCGTTCCCTAACATCTTACTGGTAAACCAGTTCTGGCTGCGTTCTTCTGGCCTCGTTCCATTTCCTGCCTATTCCTGGCTGTGTCCATTTCTGGCTGTGTCCATTTCTGGCTGTGTCCAGTTCTGGCTGTGTCCATTTCTGGCTCGCTCGGATTCTGCCTCTGTTAACACCTGCGCTGTGAGTACTTGCTCGCTACGGGCGTCAGCTGCTAAGCCACATGAGCTATGGCTCCACACCACCACCACTAAACATGTTATGTAGGCAATCCCGCGAAACCCATTACGCCTTTTACTGTAGCTCTGCATATATTTATCGTGGTTGGCGATGTGATATTTTCTTATATTTCCTTTTTTAGCAAATCGCTGTTAGAGTGCTGCTCGTCGGTTGCCCACGAGTGCTGTCCCTGGCACCTGCAGGGGCACTTTGGGCTTCGCTGAGCCCCGTGGGGCAGCGGCTAGTGTGGGGTGCATGCTAAATTTAGACCAGCCTCATTCAAGAGCCCTACGAGAATGCCGGTCTTTTGCTCCATTTCGGCCGCCAGGATGTATAAAAGGACCTACTGATCCATCATAATCCGGATAGTCATCTATTCAACCACATACTCAAACCAGACTATACCAACTTTTTACACTCATCAGATAACATGCAGCCTCCATCTTTGCTGGCCATCTTAGCCTCTGTGGTGCCAGGGACACTCGCATGTGTTGCCCAGATGCCATTTGTTGCCCTCCGAGCAACCGCTGGCGGTGTCACTCAAGAGGCCTCAATTCCGTTGTATATGGCGGACGAGTGCCTGTACCAGACTCCTGGGCCGATCGTGCCGGTCAATTTTCCCAGCAACGTGACCGAGGCCGAGCTGAACCAAAACTTCGTCGACCAAAATGGCCAACCTATGAGTGTCGAAGATTTGAATACGTTCACTAGTACTGCTGGAATTCGTCAAGCAGCACTGTTGGATTCGGTAATCTGCAACTTGACCACCCATAGTGGCGATAATATTGAGCTTCAGGCCGGCAGCCCAGTCGTCTTCGAGCAGACACAAATCACAGAATGCCAATGCATGTTAGCCACGCTCATGCCTGCTTTCCAAAAGGCATTCATCCCCGGAGCATCCGTTCGCCAGCGTCGCCAGACACTGTCGAAGAGAAGACGCTTGCTGCAGAACGACGACTTCGGAGACATCGCGCCAAATTCTCCCCAAACTGATTTCTCCGGTGGTCAGCAGCCGAGTCCAGATGTTCCAGAGTTCTCGGGGAACCAGGGAGCTGAACCTGTGCCTGGTGATTTCTCAGGGGGGCAACAGCCAGCGCTTCTGAATCCTACTTTTTGTACGACCCTGGACGATGGGTCACTTCAGGATCCATTTTGTATAGAGGGATAGGCTCAACGTTTAAAAGGGAAGAATGCGTCACTGTTCTATAGAAACATATTGAGTGTTTAGAAGTAGTTATAGCTGAAGTATTTTGATTTTTATACTGATATAAAACTCCTGTTATTTCGGCTAAGACACGTAGTAAAAGGCTTCATAAGAAGAAGAAAGCTGTATCCATTTCATATTACCTATGATAGCTCACCAGTCTTGTATTGGTATGGCTTCTCCTGATATGGCTTGTTCAGGTATGGCTTGTACAGGTATGGCTTGTCCTGGTATAGCCAGGAAGGTTCTAGGATTTTATATCAGCTAATACTGGTATGGTGCCCATACTGGGTAAGGATTGTACAGGTATAGATTGTACAGGTATGGATTGTACTGGTATGGATTGTACTGGCATGGATTGTACTGGTATGACTTGTCCTGGTATAGCTTGTACTGGTATGGCTGGCATGGCTAGGATTGCTCGTGTGATGGCCAATACTTGTATGGCCGATACTAGTATCTCTGGTACTGTTATGACCCGTACTGTTATGACCCGTACTGGTACGGCACGGCGGGCTGCCGTAAAATATGACGTAATGGCTAGCGCGAGGACTGTTTCCTTTCCTGGTCATCCGTTCTAAATTGAGCTATGCTACCACCCGGCGTCCATTTATGGCCACGTCCAAAAGGTGCTCCAGGCTTGCAAGGATAAAAAGGCTCCAGCACCGTTCTGTTTTTCATTCTATCACCACAAAATCTCAACATGCTTCTACTCTCCCCATTACTACCATTCATCATTGCGTACTTCGTGATCAACTCGGAGGCTCTCAACCATACGCTGGATGTGGAGGTTCGATTCGGTGACTTCACTGGTATCGGCACTCTTACAATTATAGAGGCATTGCCAAATTTACCTCTGCAGAATGACGCCTCCCAGCCCCCGTCCAACCGCTCAAACCTAGAACCATCTGTCATTTCGACAGTGTCTCCCATTTCTAGCAGTCCAGTTGCAGACATCAGTTGGCAGCCATTTACCCCTCGACCCCAGCCGCTAGAGACCAACACAGCAACAGCGATGGCGACTGCCACTGTAACGCTGACGGTAACTGAAACTTCAAGATGGGTATCCTCCCAAATTGATGAAAAACAAGGATCTATGATTGCTACTCCAAAGAGCATCATGATTCCATCCTCGTTCGTTGAACCTCCTCCGCCGCTTCCGACGCCGCCAGTAACTGTGAACGTCTTGAACACTACTTTTGCTCCTAATTTAACCTCATTGGGCTCTAGCTCCACGCCTAGCGAAACGAGTGGTATTTCAGGACTTCCGTTAGGTTTCGAGTTCGCTAGCCAGGCTACTTCAAGCTCGCCTAGAGTCACAGTGGATAACATGTGGCCCGCGCTGCTATTGTCTGCTGTTGCTGGAAATGCGATGCGTTGATCTGTTGCAAAGATAGACAGAGCTTTAGATAGATACATATAATTTTTGAGATCATCACACCCTGCGTCGTTTACTTCGTCTTAGCTCTTCGTGTGGCGTTTCGTCCCCATTTTCACGTTTTTTTGTTTTCAGAGACCCATCATCAGAACAAAGTTTCAGTGTGCGAATTACCTCCAACCTTAGACTATTGTCGTCTAGCTCTGAAGTGCCGATAGGCATACGGAGCATGCGGAGGTTGGCAATGCGGATGATCAGTGGTCCGGAATTCCACACATTGACCGTTTCGATGAAAACATTCTAGGACGTGTGAGAAGATGAGACTGAACAATTCTGCGGGAAGAACACACCTCAATTTGGCCATACTTCAAAAAACGAAAAGCTTTCTGGATTGTTTTAGTATTTGAAGCAAGGTGGTTTCAAGACACATACCCCAAGTTGTCGAGATATCCGGCTGTTATCTTGGTTAGCGACGAAGTGTTGGATGTGTCTTTTCCGATTATCAATCTCCAATAGACTGAAACCTTGTTTTCCATGGTAAATCGGAAAGAAATAGACAAATCCAGCATTTTCATCTGGCTTTACTCGAGGGGGAGAAATTTCTTCTTGCGCCTGAGCAAATGGCTGTGAGTTGTCCATATAAATGGTTGAACCGATGCGAACGTTGGTTGGCTTATCAGCCATATGTAATGCTGCTTGAACGATGCCGGAGGATAACGATGTTTCGGGACGCAGCGTCTCCAAATCTTCGGAAGTGACTGCGAGATGAATCTCTTGATTCGTCTGCGGTTGCAAGACAGAACGGAAAGAAAAGTCTTCCAGTTTGGCCGCTTCAGCGAGTTCTGCCAATTGTTCATTGACCTCGTTGTTGCTAATAAGGTCCCAATGAATGAGTCGCGTCAGGCAGGCTTCGTTTCGGATGCTTTGCACAAAATTGGCAACATTAGCTTTTCCATGCTCGACAAACTCGTCAAATTGATCACACAAGTGTTTCAAGACGATAAGCTTATTAGTGTTCTTCTCCAAGTCGTCGACAAAATCTTGCACGTCCTCAGCTCGCGCTTTGGTGAGTTCCCTAAAGACAAATGAGTATGGTCGAAACTTCAGCAGTAGATTTCCCTCACCATGTTCTCTTTACGAAGATGACTCCAAACCCAAACCTCTCAATCAGATCAAGCAGCCTTCTTCCTTTTGTCAATCGTGTCCTCAGAGAACTCCTGGCAGTGCTTGCAATCTTATCGCTGGTAGTTGGAGACGTCATGTGGGTCATCAGTCTCTTCATGACTTCATTCGAGGCTGTCTTGTTCGGCGTATCGGGCTTCTCTCTCTGCACCTCTGCCACTTGAGAATCGTACCATCTGGCGAAAGCGGCGAACGTGATCATATGGCTAACATTGAGCCTCTGGCGGCTGTCGTTTCCCTTTTCAATGCATCTTAACCAATTCGCCCCGTTTGACCAGTTTGTGTTGATGCATTTCGCTTTGAGGTCCTTGATCAGTATTCGATCATCTTCGCTCGGCCCTTCTGTATGATTTTGGCTGAGACCGCGGATGGTGTCTACCGCATTGTTAATGAATACTGGTAGAGGTTCGTGGGCATATTTGCTTTTCTCCACATGTATCGACTCATCCAACTTAGATCGCGGTGTCATTGAGCTCTCTGAAGGGTCGGGTGATGGGCCGTCTGAGACCGCGGAAGGAGTCGGCGTTTCATTGACTGCTGAAGCAGGAGAGACTTGCATCAGTCCGATAGAAGTGCAGTCTGGTGTAGGCGATGGCGTTTCGGTGTTCACCTGAATACAAGAGAGTA